GGGTGAGCTGAGCTGGGCTGAGCTGGGCTAAGCTGAACCAGGCTGGTGAGCTGGGCTGAGCTGAGTTGGGCTGGGTAAGTTGGGCTGAGCTGGCCTAAGCTGGCCTGAGGTGAGCTGAGTGAGCTGAGCTGGGTGAACTGAGCTGGGTGAGCTGGGCTGAGCTGGGCTGAGCTGAACCAGGCTGCGTGAGCTGGGCTTAATTGGGCTGAGGTGAGCTGGGTGAGCTGAGCTGAGCTGGGCTGAGCCGGGCTGAGCCGGGCTGAGCTGAACCAGGCTAGGTGAGCTGGGCTGAGCTGAACCAGGCTGGGTGAGCTGGGCTGAGCTGAGCTGGGTGAGTTGGGCTGAGCTGGGCTGGGTGAGTTGGGCTGAGCTGGGCTGAGCTAGGCTGAGTGGAGCTGGGTGAGCTGGGCGAGTTGGACTGAGCTAGGCTGAGCTGGGCTGGGTGAGCTGACCTGGGCTGGGTGAGCTGAGCTGAGCTGGGTGAGCAGAGCTGAGCTGGGTAAACTGGGCTGAGCTGGGTTGGGTGAGCTGAGCTGAGCTGAACCAGGCTGGGTGAGCTGGGCTGAGTGAGCTGGGCCAGTTGGGCTGAGCTGGGCTGAGCTGAGCTGGGTGAGCTGGGCTGAGCTAGGCTGAGCTGGGCTGGGTGAGCTGACCTGGGCTGAGCTAGCCTGAGCTGGGCTGGGTGAGCTGACCTGGGCTGGGTGAGCTGAGCTGAGCTGGGTGAGCTGAGCTGAGCTGGGCTGAGCTGGCCTGAGCTGAACCAGGCTGGGTGAGCTGGGCTGAGCTGAGCTAGGCTGGGTAAGCTGAGCTGAACTGGGCTGAGCTGGGCTAGGCTGGGCTGAGCTGGGCTGAGGTAGACTGAGTTGAACCAGGCTGGGTGAGCTGGGCTGAGCTGAACCAGGCTGGGTGAGCTGGGCTAAACTGGGTTGAATTGAGCTAAACTGGGCCGAGCTGGCCTGAGCTGGGCTGGACTCTGCTGGGCTGAGCTGAGCTGAACTGGGCTGATCTGGGCTGGGCTAGGTGATCTGGGCTAAGCTGAAGGGGGCTGAGTGAGCTGAGCTGAGCTGAGCTGGATGGAGCTGGGCTGAGCTCAGCCGAACTGGGCTGAGCTGAGCTGAGCTGAGCTAGGCTGGGCTGGGCTGAATTGGGCTGAGGTAGGCTGAACTAGACTGGTCTGGGTGAGCCAAGCTGAGCTAGATGGAGCTGGGCTGAACCAGGCTGGGCTGAGTTGGCCTGGGTGAGCTGGGCTGCGCTGAATTGGGCTGAGTTGGGCTAGGCTTGGTGCATTTAGCTGATTAGCCAGGGTCACTGAGCTGGTCCAGCAAAAATGGACTGGCTGAGCTGGCTTGGCTCAGAGGTGTTTGATGTCCTAGTTTGGGCTAGATTCACCTGCATTGCGCCATTCAGTTTTAGTTGGGCTGAGCTGGCCTTGCTGGACTGTCCTGACTAACATTGGTCTGACCTCAATGACCCGGTTGTGCTAAGAACAGGCCAAGGGGAGTCTGCATGGTCCGACTCTTCACATACATACCGTCCACTGACCCTAGACACACAAGCCAGGGCTGGGGGCCTGGCTGGGGGTTCCTCTTGATGCCCTCAACCTGCGTCACAGACAGCTCACGGGGCTTGCAGCTGAGCGTACCAGTCTGGCTCTGGTGTCTCAGAGGGAAGGCAGCACTGGCCGAGCCATCCTGAGCTGGGAGCCAGGGTACCAGAGTGCTCGAGGATAAGGCAGAGGTCACGTCTTCCCCCAGCTTCTCGCAAGTGCAGAGCTGGGCTTTTGCGGCTGGGTGGGGGCTGCTGCGCCTCCCTTTCCCAACTGGACTCGGCCTCCGCCCAGCTGCCCACTGCACTGTTGGTCCAGGCTGGGGAGGCCGTGAGGCCATCCCTTGTGGCAGTGGGGTGAGGGGGCCACGGGGCTGGCTCAGGCCTGCCTGGCAGAGTGTGGGAAGAAGACACCTTGTCACTCAACTCCTGTCCCTCTCTGGTCCTCAGAGAGTCTGTCCCCTCCAAACATCTTCCCCCTCATCACCTGTGAGAGCTTCCCATCTGATGAGACCCTGGTGGCCATGGGCTGCCTGGCCCAGGACTTCCTGCCCAACTCCATCACCTTCTCCTGGAACTACCAGAACAGCAGTGAGGTCGGCAACCAGGACATCAAGAACTTCCCTTCGGTTCTGAGAGAGGGCAAGTACGTGGCTACCTCCCAGGTGTTCCTGCCCTCCGTGGACATCTTCCAGGGCTCTGATGAGTATCTCACATGCAAGGTCAAGCACCCCAACGGTAACAAATCCGTGAAAGTGTTCATACCAGGTGAGCGCCAGGGCCTCCTACCCATGGCCAGGTGGGCAGGGTGAGGCCAGGTGAGCTGACGCCTTGTCCCCCTCCCAGCAGCGACTGGAATTCTGTCCCCCAACGTGACTGTCTTCATCCCGCCCCGCGATGCCTTCTCTGGCAACAGCCAGCGCACGTCCCAGCTCCTCTGCCAGGCCAGAGGTTTCAGCCCCAAGCAGATCTCCGTGTCCTGGTTTCGTGATGGAAAGCAGATCGAGTCCGGCATTGACACCAGCAAGGTGGAGGCTGAGGACAAAGTGTCCGGGTCTGTGACGTACAGGGTCCTCAGCATGCTGACCATCACCGAGAGCGCCTGGCTCAGCCAGAACGTGTTCACCTGCCGAGTGGAGCACAGTGGAGAGATCTCTGAGAAGAATGTGTCCTCCATGTGCACCCCCAGTGAGTGCTCTGGCCCCTAGTGCAGCCCCTCAGGGTGGGGGTCCCTCACATGCACCACGGGTGTCCACTTGGGCCAGCAGCTCCCTGAGCCTTGGCTTCCCAGAGCGGCCAAGGGCAGGGAGGTGGGGGCCCAGTAAGCCCCTCCAGTGGGTCCTTGGGGCTCAGGAAGGCTCAGTGTGAATTCAGCCTATGTTCTTTGGGGAAAATCTCCACCTTTGCCTGATTTCACATCCAACCGGTCACTGACACAAACTCTCTCCTGATCTAGATTCACCCGTCGGCATCAGCATCTTCACCATCCCCCCCTCCTTTGCCGACATCTTCCTCACCAAGTCGGCCAAGCTGTCCTGCCTGGTCACAGACCTGGCCACCTATGACAGCCTGACCATCTCCTGGACCCGCCAGAATGGCGAGCCTCTGAAGACCCACACCAACATCTCTGAGAGCCACCCCAACATCACCTTCAGTGCCATGGGGGAGGCCACGGTTTGTGTGGAGGACTGGGAGTCAGGAGAACAGTTCACCTGCACGGTGACCCACACGGATCTGCCCTCGCCTCTGAAGAAGACCATCTCCAGGCCCAAGGGTAGGGGCCCACTCCTCCTCTGCCCCAGGACTCTCCAGGGCCTCTGGGGGTCTCTCCCCAGTGGCCCCCGGCCTGAGCTCACCACTGTCTTTCCTCCCACAGAGGTTGCCAAGCACATGCCATCTGTGTATGTCCTGCCACCAAGCCGGGAGCAGCTGAGCCTGCGGGAGTCGGCCTCGGTCACCTGCCTGGTGAAGGGCTTCTCTCCCCCAGACGTGTTTGTGCAGTGGCTGCAGAAGGGGCAGCCCATGTCCCCCGACAGCTACGTGACCAGCGCCCCGACACCCGAGCCGCAAGCCCCCGGCCTCTACTTTGTCCACAGCACCCTGACCGTGAGCGAGGAGGACTGGAGCGCCGGGGAGACCTACACCTGTGTTGTAGGCCACGAGGCCCTGCCCCACATGGTGACCGAGAGGAGCGTGGACAAGTCCACCGGTAAACCCACTCTGTACAACGTGTCCCTGGTCTTGTCTGACACAGCCAGCACCTGCTACTGACCACCGGGCCGCCGCCCTCCGGCGGATCACGCAGCCCCTGGCTGACCCATCGCTGTGTGTGCCTGTGTACAAACTAACCTTGTCAATGGGGTGACATGTGGCATTTTATCAAAATTAGAAATAAAAACATCCATTCAAAGACACTCGTCCTGAGTAAGCGCTGGTCTCGCCTGCTGGGGCCGCAACGGTGCTGTCCCCGCCCCCAGACCGCCCTCCACCACCGTCCCCGCCCCCACCCAGCCTCTGGAAGGCCCTGTGCTCCTTGCAGACCAAGCCCATGCTCACCGCTCCTGTAGCTGCTCCCACGGCCAAATGGGTGCGCAACATGACACCAGACATGGGTGCACCTCCATTAGACACACGGGTACACACGGATACACATGTGTATGACACGCACACACATGGACACACGTGCACACTCACCCACACACGTGGACACGTACACACACAGTCACACACGCGCGTGTGCACGCACACATCCCAGCCCTTGCACACCCGTGGTCCCTCAGTGCCTCTGGCAGGAACTTCTGCCCTGTCCAGTCGTGTCACTTTCTGTGGGGCTTTGTGCCCAAGCTCTGCTTGTCCCTCTGTCTCAGCTTGGAGGTCTGGACTCTGACCATGGCCACCATTCCCGGGCCTGGAGCCAAGGGAAGCCCCTGCCCGTGCCCAGGCTCTTGAAGGCAGCAGTGCCCATGGGCGAATGGGGCTGGGCCCATCCTGACAGAGCAGGCAGTGCATGGACATCGGCCCCAGAGGCAGAGAGGCTGTTCCTGGAGGCTCCTCCTCACAGGGGTAGGCTGCAGAGAGCCTGGTCTGAGTGGAGAGCCCCTGCAAACACCCAGCCCTGGAAATGGTGGAAAATGAGGCCCCAGGCGCAGGAGTGAGGGAGTACAGACCCGGTGGGCAGAGAGGAGCAGGGCCCCGAGTGGGATCTCCTCTGCCAACAGCCACAGGCAGCCCGGCCCCTCGGGGCTGCCTCCAAGACCCTCTGTGCACCCCAGGCCCTTGGGAGCCTGAGCTCCAGATGCCCCAAAGGGGCCAGTTATGCAGGGGCTGCAGACCCCACTGAAAGTCCTCAGCCTGTCCACCCCAGTGTCACCCTCCATGGAGCCTCAGGGTTCTATCTGAGCCCCTAGCCCTCAAGGACTGGCAGGGCAGACACCCGGCCAGGGCCCCACACGGGCTCTCCCACCGGCCATGCACTCTGAAACGGAAAGACAGTGAGCAGGAATCTCCGTAGGAATCAAGGACGTTCCCCTCGGGCCCAGATGCGTGCCAGCCCCGCTGGCTTCAGGGGCACACCCACACCCCAGACCACAGCCGGCAGGAGGCCCTGCTCCCTGCCTCTCTCCCGGGTGGCCCTGGCTGTGCGGCCCTGCCCAGCTCCAGCCTGGCCCCTGTGTCTGTGTTGTTCTGCCGCACTCTCTGCCACCCCATGGCTCCCATGCAAGGTGCTCGGGGTCACCCCCTGCTTTGCTTTGGCCACATTCTGCCTCTACCTCACCCTCTGCCTCAGGCTGCCAAGGCCCAGCTAGTGCCAGGCTTAGACGCTTCCCAGCTGAGCCCGGGAGCCCTCGGCCCCACAAGGCGGGTGCGGAGGAGACTGTGGGGCTGGGAGTCATGCATACCCGCTCACCACCCCCCCGCCCCGCCTGGCCCCCCAGGGGCAGCACAGCCGAGGCCCAAGGGCGGCTCTGGGGCCAAGCCCTGCTGCAGGGCGGCCTGACCCCTCTATGCTGTGTTCCACGCAGGGGGGGAGGTGAGTGCCGACGAGGAAGGCTTCGAGAACCTGAACACCATGGCATCCACCTTCATTGTTCTCTTCCTCCTCAGCGTCTTCTATAGCACGACAGTGACACTGTTCAAGGTAGCCGCAGGACGGGCATGGGGGCGGGCGGGAGGCTCACGTGGCCCAGGGCAGCAGGGACACAGCTCACGCTGTCTGTCGTCTGCAGGTGAAATGACCGGCCGGCCAAGAACATCAGAGGCCCGGGACATGGATCCAGGGGCAGCCCGTGGAGCCCGTCAGCTGGTCCTCAGACCTGCCCCACGCCGCCCCCTCCCGCTTCCAGCTCCAAGACGCGGCCGCGCGTCTTCGAGTCCGCTCCGAGCCTTGTTTTGCAATGTACACGCATGTCACCTTCCAATAAACATGTATATTTTATCTTAAAAAACTGCTTCCTTGTGCAGGCTTTTTGTCCCAAAGTGCACTCCCTGTGTGTGTCGAGTGTGTGTCAAGGGCCCACGGGAAAGGGAGGTCCGTCTGCACACAAGCCCGCCGGAGGACATGCCGGGGAAGGGGGCCCGGTGGTGGGACCCAGAGTCTCGGGCACGTCCCGTCTGCTGAAGGACACAGCCGAGCTGGGCACAGTCCCAGGCCTGACGTCCTGGACATGGCGGGACCCAGGAGCCAGGCTTGGGCCTCGGGGGGTTTGTGTGCATCCGCACGATGCACAGTCCCCGTCTCTGTCCCCAGCGGGCCCGGCCGCCCGACGGACTTGTCCCACCCTTTGCGGTGTCTGGGGTGTGTGGCAATGAGACCGGCAGGAGCACAGGGCCTGACCCTGCTGTTGGACTGCACCCTGACCACTGTGTGGACGGCAGCAGGAGTTTCTGGGGAACCGGTGAGGAGAGTACCTGCCAGGGAGCGGCGCGGTGGGGAAGGCTCTGTGCGTCCACATCACTGCACGGGAAGGGCAGGCGGTGCCAGGCCCGGGAGCCATGGCAGAGGCGGCCCGCGGCAAACGGGATGGGGGACCTGAGTCGGGGGCTTGCCCGGCCACCGTGCAGACAACCGGGGTGGCCCACAGGCCGTGAAGCGGTGCCAGCAAGGGTCTGGAGGGCAGCAGGGGAGGGCAGAGAGGGGAGGCGCAGACCCCACACAGCTGAGGGGTTGGGGCCGGCAGCTCACGGGTCCCCAGGACACCTGTCCCCTGTGTGTGCTCCAGGGGGGGCACTTCAAGGCTCCGGCTTCGTTTTGGTTACACGGACCCCCCACGGCCCATCCTTACAGGTTGAGGAGGGCCGAATGAGGTGCAGGCCGCGGCTGGGGCTCTTGTGCCTGTGGGGAGGGGGGCTGTCGGCTCCGGATGGCACCTGCACTGTGTTTGTGCCCAAGGACCCCTGACGGGGGGGCTTGCGTGACAAAAATTCAATCATCTAGACATCAGGTGTCCCATGGGGGTGTCGGCAGGGCCAGCCCCCTGGGCTGGGAGGGAGAGTCCGTTCCAGACGGGCTTCTGGCGGCTGCCACCATCTTTTGTGTCCCTCGGCTTGGAGGTGCTGTCTCTGTGCGGTCTGCCCCTTGCGCATGTGTCCAGACCCCCCCTTTGATAAGGGCGTCGGTCAGGTGGGATTAGTGTCTCAGCCTCCAGGATCCTGTTCCCAAACAAGGGCCCATTCTGGGGCACTGGGGCAACAGGATTTCAGTACATAAACCGGGGCTCACAATCCAAGCCATAACCGTCCACCCCCAGCCCCCGAAATTCATGTCCTTTTCCCAAGCAAAACACTTCGCTGAACGAGTCCCGAAATCACCCCACTGAGCAGCAACCCTGCGTCCAAAATCAGCTGAATCAGGGAGAGGCAAGACAGGCGTCCGACTGAGCCCGGGGTGCAGGGTGGACGGGCCCGTCCCAGCAGGCAGGGACCTGAAGCAAGAGAGGCCAGGTCTGGCAGGGCTCCCCATTAGGTGATAAGGTTCCGGAAGAATCCGCTCCAGCCCTACACTCTGTCTTCAGAGCTGGCGCCCAAGGCCTGGGTCCTCTGCGCCCCCCTTGGCAGCCCCACCGGCCTCTGCGTCCGCGGCTCCGTCTCAACGCCAGCCGCCCTCTGCTTCCGTCAGGCAGGCGCGTTTACGTGAGATTCTCAGAAACCTTGTCGGCATCCCAGGCAGTTCCTTGGACAAGTCCACCTCCAGGGGCCTTTCCTGGGGAACCACATGGCTGCTCCTGGTTCCTCTCAGACGCTTGCTGGGACCACATGCACCATCCCCGGTGGGAGGCGTCCGGCCAGACCCACAGAGACCTTCCCAAAGCTCCTAGTTGTGGCTCCACGTGCGGCCGCCTCCCACGTTCCCCGGCAGCAGTGAGCAGAGCCGGGCCATCTGCAGTGTGTGCGTGGACAGCTCCTCAGCCAAGTGCCCTCGCCAGGTGCTTGCGCAGCGGCGCTCTCCGAGCCCAGACACGCTGGCAGCCTGCTCCCCAGCCCAGGGCATGGCCAAAGGCCTCCCGTGAAGACAAAGCACTCACGGGCCTGGACCCAAGCCGCAGAGCCCCGGGGGCAGGCACTGGGGAGGGCTGCGTCTGCTCCCACCGCTTGTCAGGGAACCGCACAGAAGTCTAGCCACAGGCCACTCTGCGGGCAAAGGGGACCCAGGCCTCCTACAGGATGGCCCAGGGCCAACATTCGGAGGCCTGGGGGGGGACACAGGGCCCTGGGGCCTGCCACCAAGGCAGCACGGGCTCTGCAGCAGGGGGAGGGCCCCTTATTGTACCCCCCACCCTGCACCCTCCCTCCGTGGCCCCAGCCTCACAATCCCGTCTGTCTTCCAGACACCAAGACGCCACGTCTGTTCCCCTTGGTCTCAGGATGTGAAGCCCCAAATGAAGGTGACCTCATAGGCCTGGCCTGCTTGGCACAAGGACCCTCCATAGAGTCGGTGCAGGTCAGCTCAAGCCCGGAGGCACAGGACCAGAGGCAGAAGACCCACCTGATCATGCTGGGGATGCAAGGGCACACTCAGCTGTCCGTCCTGATGGCCAACTGGAAGCCGGGCCTGCACCACTGCAGCGCAATCATCCGTGAGGCCACCAACAGCCCCAAGCTGCACAAGGCCATCCAGTGGCCAGGTGGGTGGTCCCCAGGCCCCCGAGGATGGCCTCCAGGGTCTCCCGCTCCTTCCACCCCAAGGACAACGCAGGCACCTGGGCCCAGCATGCAAGAGTCTGTGGCTGAGTGTGGGGCCTCCCATGGCCCAGTCCGCACCGTGCAGCCCACTAGCACCTCCCTCCTGCCATCCTCCGTCCGTCCTCCCGGCCATTGTGCAGCCTCCCCCGCGCACGCACCATCTGACCCCCCCCCCCACTCTCCCTCCGCTTTCAGCGTCCTGGGAAGTGAGGACCTCCGGGTCGACTCGCAGGCCGTCCCTACCAGAGGACTCCACCAAAGCCCCCAGCACTGCCAGGGTCCCAGGTGAGGACCCCCACCCCAGCACGCCCACCCCTGCCTTCCATCCCTTGGCTGACTCCTTCAGGCAGCCCTCCCTGACTTCTCTGGGTCGGGAAGGGCAGGCACTGAGGAGGTGCACACGGAGCACCAACCGCATGGCAGGCCCTGTGCCGGGCATCAGCAGACACCCCCTCAGGCCCCTTGTGAATAGGAGACCCCCCGACACCTCTGGAGAGCACAGTGCATGGGGCTGGGCCGCAGGCCAGGCTTGGGACGCGCTAGGCCTCAGACACGAGCCTGTCCCGGAGCCCCACGTGGGCACACGTGGCCGACGCGGCCAGCTGGGCGGAACCTGGCCCTGTGACCCTTACAGAGCTGCAGCAGGTCACCGAAGCCTCAGGAGCCGTGACGGTGGACCCAGGGGTCCCTGCAGCAGGTGCCCTCCCAGCCGGCTGCCTGTCCGAGGGCCACGTGTGGTCACAGCCTCCCTGCCTGCCCCTCGGGGATGGTCCAGTGCTTGCTCCTCTGAGTGGGGCAGCAAGCTGTGTTCGCAGACAGAGAAGGGCAGCCCCAGCACCAGCCCTCTGGGGCGTTGGTGAGGCCCACACGAGGGGCAGGGGCTGTGGTCTGCTGTGGCCCCTCCGTGGGCCCTCCACAGCCCGCCCCACCTGTGACCACCCCATCTCCAAACGCCAGTGCCCCAGCTCAGCACAGCCCCGTCAGACCCAGAGGGGACCGGGCAGCAAGGAGAGGATGCCAAATGCCACCCTGACTTGGGGCAGGGGTACTTGCCGGACCCTGTCCATGCGGGGCACGTCTGCCGGCTGACCGGGAGCTGGGCCCAGGCAGAGCTCTGGGGAGACCCTGGAAGAAGGCTGTGTGGGCCTCCAGGGGAAGATGACCTCTGTGGGGCAGACTGGGCCGTGCTGGTCCCACGAGCCCAGCCCTCCGAACAGGCCAGCACTCTCCACCCCAGAGGGCCGCACGGGCCACAGCCCGGAGCTGTTTCCTACAAGCTGGGAATGGTCTTTGCCACTTTAGCTGGATGCGGGGGAGCGGGGGGGGGACGGAGACCTGGGAGCCCCATGTAACTGCAAAGCCTAGATATTTACTATCTGACCCTTTACAGAACAAACCTGTGGGCGTCTAGTCTGTCCCAAACCTAAGGCCCGATAACGTACTGGCCGCCCTCACCCTAACCGTAGAGGGCACTGTGGCATGATGACCCCTCAGGAGCCCTGGCGAAGGGCCCACAGCGGGTGCGGGTAGGTCTCCGGACCCCAGAGAGCGGGAAGGCCGAGGGCCCAGGGAGGCCACGGCCCTGACTACAAGTCCCGCCGGGGTCACCCCCACCTCTCCCCGTAGTGCCCTCCACCAGCCACACCCTGACGCCAGCCGCGGAGCCAGGAAGCCCAGGGGACGCCATGCTCAGAGGCCAGTTCCTTGGGGCACAGAGCGGGAAGAGGAGGGACTGGGGAACCCTGGGGAAGTCCCGCCCCGCGAGCGAGCCCCCAGCCCGGCAGTGGGAGGCCAGGAAGCAACAAAGGGGGGCTCTGCACCGGGGAGCGCGGCAGACCTGGGCCTGGCACTGCCCCCAGCACCGCCCCCAGGCTGATCCCCCGCTGACCTCTGCCCGCTGACCGAGGCCGCTGTCCTCTGGCAGACTGCGGGAACCACACCCACCCTCCCAGCATCTCCTGCGCGCTAAGCCAGCCCAGCACGCCTTCCCAGGTGGCATCCACAGCACCAGGAGAGCATGGTGAGGCCCGCTCCCGGGCCCAGGAGACGGGTGGCTGGGGCCCTGCACACACACCCCCCGCCCAGCCCAGCGGCTCCACCGGCCCCTCCTTCCACAAGGAGAACCAAGGGGGTGGGGAACCGCCCTCCCGGGCCACCCAGCTTCACCCAAGCCTCAGGTGGCCCCAGCATGACCGGGCTTCTCCCCATAGCTGCCACAGCGCCCTGCTGCCTCGCTGTCCGTGCCCTGACCGTGCCCCAAGCGGCCTTCTGGCTCCTGTGTGAGGTGTCTGGCTTCTCGCCCCCGGACATCCTCCTCACCTGGCTCAAGGGCCAGACGGAGGTGGACCCTGCTGGGTTTGCCACTGCACGCCCCACGGCCCAGCCTGGGAACAGCACGTTCCGGACCTGGAGCGTCCTGCGTGTCCTTGCCGCCCAGGGCCCTGGCCCGGCCACCTACACGTGTGTGGTCAGGCACGACGCATCCCGGAAGCTGCTCAACACCAGCTGGAGCCTGGACACTGGTGAGTCACTCACGGGCTTGAGGGCTTCCGTCCCGGCCTCCTCCCAGAGCGGGGCAGGGGCGGAGGGGCAGCCCTCCCAGGAGCTGAACGGCTGGGTCCTGGGGCTGTGGCCAAGGGCCTGCACCGCCCACCCCGGACCACCCCACCCCAGCCTGCTCGGCGTCTGCTCGACGTCTGGGGTGGGCTTTGGATGCCCCGACACCTGTCCCCCCAAAGCCTGTCCTCATGTCTACACACCACATGCTGGACTAGGACCAGGGGGAGGCGGCTGTCACCCCCGCCAGGCCCCAGAGAACAGCCGTTTCCCACCAAGACATGCCGCACCACTGGGCGCAGAACAGGGGCCTCCCCTGGGGAGGGTGGTCATCCAGACACCACCTTCCAGGGGCATCTGAGCCTCCCCAAGCCCCAGGAACCCCAGTGGTCTGGGAGAACAGTCAGCACCTCAGGATCCAGATACACCCAGAAGTGGGAGCTGGTCTCAGTACCCAGGGACATCTGACCAGCCAAGGCCCACAACAGGCCCCGACTGCAGGCCGCCTACAGGGCGGAGGGGATGGAGGCCCACCAGGGTGGGGCTCACGGTGGAAGTTTAGGGCTTACTGTGCCCTCTGAGGCCCTCGTCAGACCCCCTCACCACCCCGTCACGGGGCAGCACCCTGACAAGAGCCCCTCCTGGCCCGGCAAGGCCCTGGTGGGACTGTGCTGGACACCTGAGGCCAAGCAGCCATCCTGCTCCTGCTCATGGACGGGCAGCAGGTGGACTCGGCACCGGGTGCTGGGAGGGGGAAGGTGCCCAGTGGAGGCCCACGGCAGCAATGTGGGGGGCATGCAGGAAGGCTGTGCCAGGCTCCATGGCTTGGACACCCCGCCAACAGCCCATACCCTGCCTTGGGCATCCCCCCACCAATGAGAGCACTGGCCCTACTGGGCCCTACTGTGTCCTATAGCCAGGCTTGGCAGTGCTGGCAGCCTGCTGGGCAGCGGCCCATGGGGGCCCCAGAGAGGTGGTGGCTCCTCAGCACCCCCAGCCCGTTTGCCTCTGCCCCCACAGGCTTCCCCCAGAGTCCCAGTGCCAGGCCCTGTCTGCCCACTTATCCTGGGACCCCTTTTCCTCAGCCTGCCTTCTTGGCCTTGCCCCCGCTCCCTCTGGGTGCCACCTGCACTGGGCCACCTGTCGTGGCTCATGCCCCCAGGGTATGTGTTCTCTGGCCCTGCTTATCCTCCCTCCTCTGGGCTCCCTGAGGGCCGGGTCCACGCTGACACTCCTCCGGGTTCCACTGTCCTCCACCCGGCTGCCCCCAGGCACAGACCCGGCCTCTCCAAGGTCTGATGTCACAGGTGAGGGCAGACGAGCGCCCTGGACAGACTCAGTCAAGGCTGGACACTGACCTGCATCCTGCGCAGAGCCCCAGCTGCAGGCTCCAGGTGTGCGTGCACGGGCACACCTGGGTCACCTGAGCACATACAGGTGTCCAGCGGTGGAGAGGCCAGGACAGCCCAACAGGCAGGGCTCAGCTCGGGTGATGTGGCCTGGCCCTAGTGCTCCCCTCTGCCGACCATAACATCTATGCCTGTGGTTGCCGGGGGTGCTCAGCCAGGCCCCTCCCAGTGCTGCACACACAAGCATGTGGAGCAGGGGCGCACGGAGGCGTGCGAGCGAGCGGGGACGGCGAAGCCTCCCCAGTGCCCAGCACTGCCCTCTCCCGGTGCCTGCAGCTGTGCCGTCCCCAAGCATGGACTCAGAGCCTCCAGAGCCCAAACATGCCGCATCTTCTTGCAGGGGCAGAGGTACGTCCACCTGCCAGGGTCACACACTCTGGAGACAGGACGCGCTGCAGAGGGTGCCGGGGGCCCCCGGGAGCCAGTGCGGAGGAAGCCCTCCTCCGGGAGGGCCAAGCCCTCACCAGCCCACTAAGGGCTGAGCCGTGCAGGCGGGCCTGCTCAGGGAGGCAGCTGGAGCCCTGCCCGTATCTCCCCGACCCCTGCTACAGCCAGGTGGGGGCGGATAGAACCGCTCCCCTGGTTTGGGCCACCTCAGCCCCGTGGAATGAGCCCGTCCTCCACGGATCAGCAGGGTCTCAGCCACGTCCCCCCAGCAGCTGAGCACCCTCCTTCCTTCCACTGCAGCTGAGGCTTTGCTTCTGGGGGTCCTGCTTGCTCTCCTCACAGGACCCCCAGGCTCCCCCCGTCCTGCATCCACAGGTCTGTCCTCTGTCTCAGCCCAGCAAAGCCCCCTGTTCCCAAACAGCCGTACACTCAGCACAGGCCTGGCGCACGGGCAGCCATGATGGCGGGGACATTTGTGCTCCGCAGGGTCACCGTAAAATAACACCGACACCCCCCGCAACCTGGTCCTGCTCCCCATCTCACATGAGGGCTGCATGCGCCCAGGTCCCACACACAGAGGTCAGGGGGCTCTCCAGCGCCCGGACCTCCAACCCTTCTGCTTCTCTCAGCCCCAGCCTGGGCCCTCCCCCGCTAATCACAGTACACTCCCTGCTGGTCCCTTGCTGCAGGCCTTCCCCCTCAGCCCAGCCTTGCTCCACAGCAAAGGGATTTCTGAGCCTCCAGTCAGGATGTAGAAGATAAGGAAGGACTGTCAGGCCAGCAGGAACAGACACCACCACATACATTCTATAAACCATGCTTATTTAAAGCCACTCAAGAGCTGGGCACTCACAGAGGTCCAGCTGGTGACTGGCTCCGTCAAAGAGAACATTGTCGGCCACCTTACCCCACCCTGGGCACGGGGGACAGAGGCATGGGCATCCAGGGAGGTGAGGGACATGAGGGAATCAGTCAAGGCTTTAATGTCTGCGTGGCTGACCTGAGGAATGAGCGTAGGGATGAACCCAAATGCATTCTCTCTGTCACTGACTGCCCTGCACAGGACCTTTGTTCAGTGTCCACAGTGGGGAACCGAGCTGGGTCAGATCCCCGGTCCTGCATGGCGCTAGACCCTGACGTCCCCGTGTGGAAGGAGAGTCCTGACCCCAAACACTGGAGTTGAAGCCAACTGTCCTGCCATCCCAGCCGGCTGAGTCCTGATCGGACAGGTCCCCACTGCCTCACGTGGAAAGTGCATGTGTACACCCCACTTTACCCTCTGCTGGTTGTCTGTTCGCAATCCCCAGCGTGCACGCAAAAATTAAAAGGTGTGAAAAGAACCAGAAAAGCTTCCCCATGATCTGGATGAAAAGTCGCAAGCAGACCCACAAGAGATCCAGATGCTGTGATTAAAAGCAGGTCCGTTCATGTGTAGTCCCCGTCTCGGGCTCCTCCAGGCTGAGCCCTGCGGATGGCCCGCTGCTCTGCCATGCCGGAGGGGAGGCTGCGAAGGAGGCTTGTCACACCCACCCCTCCTGTCCTCGCCCTTCCCACTGCAGGGCTTGGTCCACTGCCCTCGTCAGGGCCCAGAACCCCGGCCTTTCCCTGGACAGCACTCTGTGACCCTTGTCACGTCCAGCCGAGCCCCCAGCTGTCCACCAGTGCCCTCCACCTGTCTGGCACAGGCTCTCCCAAACTGTCTGGAGCAAGGACCGTTGCCTTCCTTAACGTCTCCTGTCCACCATGGACCAATACCTTTGTAGAACATGACGGGACGTACTTACTAGATTCACAGACAGCTATACATTTGCAAGGCCCACGTGATGTCCACGCCTGCTCCCCGGGCCCATGACACAGGGCATGGGTCCGGCCCCGCACCGCCCCAGACCCACTGTCAGCAGCCCTGGTCAAGCACAGAGTGGAGCCCCGGAAAGGGTGTGAACAGCCAGGAGCGTCGGTGCCTTGGGATGGTTCCTGTCAGGACTTCCTACCGGGGAGGGAGTGTGCTTGCTGGACGGGTCCCCATCACGTCGCCCACGGAGTGGCTGCTTTGACAGGCAGAGCTGGCCGTGCCTGGCCCTTGCTTCAAGGCCCTGGGGGAACCCCTGTTATTCAGGAGCACCCGGCCCAGCCCTGGCTCCCTGGCCGCCCCTGCCCGAGCTCCCCGCTCCAGGCACACTGGGGCCCTCTGCCCTCCTGGAATCAGGCTGTGTGCCAGAGCACGGTGGTCCCTCCGTGTAGAGTGCCGTTCTGGTTGGACCCTTTGGTCCCCCCTCATGGCTCCTGAGGGGGACTTTCACAGTGGCCTGGCGGGGTCCCCCGTGTGTCTATCCCTGCTGAGTGCCACCCACCTTCTGTGCACACTTGTGCGGACGTGTTGGCTTATGTGCCAGGCTGTTTGGTTGCAGCCCATCTGCACGGCCCGGTGCTGGGCCCGTCCGGCTTGGCAGAACCCCCAGTGCCAGGGGGGCGGTGGCGGAGAAGGTTCACAGGTGCGCACCAGATGGGCGCTACGTCAGGACAGGGGCGCCCCAGAGCAGTCGCCCGCCCCTCAGCACCCCGCAGCATGCAGAGCTGAACCTCCTCACCAGTGCCCTTGCTCCCCAGGCCTTGCCATGACCCTCCCACCCCCCCAGAGCCAGGACGAGAGCGGCAGAGACTCCACAGACCTGGAGGATGCCAACAGACTGTGGCCCACGTTCGCGGCCCTCTTCCTCCTCACTCTGCTCTACAGCGGCTTTGTCACCTTCATCAAGGTAAGGCAGCCAGCGCCTCTGTGTGCGGGGCTGAGGGACACGCTGCCGTTGGCCAGAGAGCCTGCAGGGAGCTGGAGGAATATACGGCCGTCATGGGCCGTGGACGCAGCCTAGGGCCTCTCAGCCCTGAGGCCCTGGAGGCCCCCTCCCTCCACCTCCACATTCCTACGGCGGAGCAGATGCTGGCCGCCTGCTCACATCTGACTTGGCTGGGCGGGACTCAGGGGCCTGGGCCCTGTTCTCTGGGGACCCTGCCCCTCACACCCAACCCCTTCCTGACCCCTGGGCTCTTACTGCAGGTGAAGTGACCCCGGGACAGTAGACGCCCAGCACCTGCAGAGAAAGGAGGCTCAGCCTCATGCTGTCGCCGAGGGCAGAGGGGACCACCCTGGACTCCAGCCCCATCTCTGCCCCCCAGCCCACCTCTGTCCACCTCAGTCCACCTCTATCCAGAGCTCAGCCGCCACACCCAGAGAGGAGGGCGTCACACCCTGCAGTTCCCCGAGCCAGCGGTCCTCACTGCAGCCCCTTGCCTTTTTGCCTGCCAGCTGGCCCCATAAACAACCTTGCTCATTCCACCTGCCTCCTGTTTACCAGTCTCAGTCATCTGGATCTGCCTCCAGTCAGAGGACCCAGGGGGCTGCAGGCAAGCATCCAAGGATCCACACCCAGGACTGGGGTACGGCTGTGGCAGGGCTCGCAGTGGGGAACCGCCCTCGTGGGAAGAACTTGTGGGGCCTCTCTGCCCGGAAGGGAATGGGAGGTACTCCCCGCACTTGCAGGCACACGCATGCGGGCACACATGGGTACATATGTGTGCACAAACACGGTTCACACATAAGCACGCGTGCACATGTACTGCTGCAGACCCTGAGCGCACACACATGCACACAAACGTGTGCATAGACATGTGCAGGTCTGCAGACCATGCGTGCTCATGTGTGAGCAGAGACACATGCCCTGCACCCACACAGGCTCACACACACCATTAGAAGACAGCCCTAAATGGTGGGAATCGGGACAGCCCCCACACGGAGCTCTTTCTACGCCCCCTGCCCTCTGCCCGTCCCCGGCTGAGTTTCCCTCTCTGCCCCTTCCAGCACATTCTGTGGCTCCCTTTCTCATCATACCGGTGGGTTATTTCTTTCCCCTCGCCAAGAAAGTTACTGCCGAGAGCACAGTGTTTCCTGTTGCTCCCTGATGATCCCCAACACACAGAGCAGAGTCCAGGGCATAGTAGGTGCTCAGCAAACAGTTGCTGAGTGAATGAGTGCCCACCTGCTGCACAAGAGCCCCTTCACCTCCCGGCATTTCCACCTGCACATGTCACCAATTTACAAATCCTTCTGAAGTCTACCCTCCCCCGCCCTGCCATCTCTGTAAATGACCTCCTGCCATGTGGACCCCAAAAGACACCCCAAAGCCATCACCACCATCCTCCCACATGCTGCAAACCATGCCACCCCTGCCCAGAGCTTCCCATTGTCCAGCCAGCCTCCAGGCCTCCCCCCGCCCCCTGCCCCAGCCCTCGGCCATGTCCTGAGGACCTAACTGTCTTGGTAGCCTCAGCTCAAACCCATCGATGGGCTCCCTTTACACCAAGAACGAGGTCGGGGCTCCTGTATCCCTAACCCACCCTGCCTGGCCCGGCCCAGAGCCCCAGGCTGCCCAGCACCACCCTCCTTGCCGCCGTCCAGGCCTACTGCTCCCTGGTTCCACCCACCTCCCAGCCTGGCCTCGAGGCCCCCCACACACACTCAGTATCCATAGTAGTGGAAGGAAGGAAGGAATGAGTAAAGGAATGAATGAAGGGTCTGGCCTGCCTCAAAGGAGGCCATGCACTTGGGCCTTCAGACCTAAGGCACATCCTCCAGCCCAGCCTCCCTGGAGAAGCCCCCATGGGACCACAGCTGTTCCCAAGGAAGCCCCTGGCTTTTCCCACGCCCTTGGATCGACACAGTGGAGCCCCATCCGCAGGCCCCAGGGAGAATGGGAGGGGGCCGGGCCCCTGACCCGAGTCCTCCACTGAGCATGGTGGGCGCCTGGTTGGGCCCAGGGGATCTGTATTTGAGCTTCTTTCTGTCCAGGAAACATACTTAGATGCCCTAAATTATGTTTCCCTAAAACGCATGTGACCCCAGCCCCTCCTGGCCGGTCAGGCGGATTTCTGCAATGGAAGAATCCAGTGGGCGGCCTTCTACCACGACTTCCCCTTTTCTCTTAAATAAGCACAAACTAACCTCTGCCCAACTACAGAAATCTGTCTGCCAGAGGCATGTGACAGCCCCTGTGGGGCCCTGGCCCAGGCTGTTTCCCTCCACGCAATGAATGCATTCGGGACCTTCCGCAGCTCTGCAGCCACAGGCCCTGACACAGCCCAGTGACGTGCAGGCTGAGGGCCGTTTCCCAGCACGCTCTGCAGCTCACCCGCACCACCACAGCCTCGCCGGCCTAGGCGCCAACCACCCTGGGCAGAAACATCTGTTTCCAGCTGTGTGATAAATAGGACACAGCTGCCCTCCCACACCTAAATCAAGGCTTGACAAGTCTGGTCCTCAGTGTGGAATTCACCGCCCAGCCACCTGCATGGGGCCCGACCAATCCCCACTCTCTTGGTGTCTGAGGGGAAGGTTTGAGTCACTCCTGCCCCCTGGGCTTGTGGACCAGGCCTCCTGGCACCTGGGCAGAAACCAGAGTTCTGTTCTCCAGCCAAGGCCCCGACATCCATGCCCTACCCACAGCCAGGCCCAGGTTTGCTGAGGTCATTCTGGAAGACAAATGGCCGCAGCAAGACTCCATAGTGCAGAGACAGGACCCTGCTCCCACGGTCAGGACAAAAGTAAAGTCAGGACCAGCATTACTGACTGATAGGAATCAACAGTGGGACCAGAGGGATGGTGGGGAGGCATTTACCTTCTCCCGAGGTGTCTCAGAATGACAGCAGAGCCAGGAACTTTAAAAAATAAGATTGGCAGATTTGCCTTCAGAGCAAAGATTAAATATCTATCAGGATAGAGACTCCATAAAAAAAGGAAAAAGGACGGGAGACAGTGGCCAAAGCATCTGACATCAAAAAGAGTATTGGTCAGAGTTCTTCAGAGAATAAACAATGATAGACCAGATAGATGATTGATAAATTGACTGATAGATGATTGATAGATGATTGTGTGTGTGTGTGTGTGTGTGTGTGATGACAGGTAAGTCTGTCAATCTTATTTTAAAATCTTATTTATATTTATATATACATATAAAAGGGATTATTTTAAGGAACTGGATCCCATGAACTATGAAGGCTTGGTGAGCCCAAAACCTGTAATACAGGCCCTCAGCCTGAAGACCCAGAGTGGATGCTGCAGGTCAGGTCAGAAGGTGTCTGGAGGAAGAAGCCCCTCTTCCTCGTGGGACCTCAGCCTTTTTGCTCTCAAGGCTTTCAGCTGATTTTACAAGGCCCACCCTCACATGGAGGCAATCTGCTTTCCTCGATCTCTTCTGATTTGCATGTTAATCACATTTTTAAAATACCTTCACTCTCTGGACTTGTGTTTGGCCAAATATCTGAGCACTATGGCCTGGTCAAGTTAACCATGAAGCTAACCATCCCAGGGTCCCAGTAAATGAGCGATGGGACAACACAGTGGGAGAAACTTGACCTTCAAGGAAAAGTTTTCAGTGGGAGACAGGAGACTGTTCCCAGGGGGTTGTAAACACAAATAACCAAGAAAACACATGAAATTGCTAGAAGTTGCAAATAATCAAAGAAAAGCAGCTTTAAACTGCTGACCCCCTGCTCAGGATGCTGCTGCCCCTTGCCAGCCCACCATGCGCCACACAGCTGTTAGGTTGACGCACAGACAGGTGTCCACGCTGTGGCACCACTATCCCGATGAGGGACGAACAGCACAGGTAAAGACAAGTAAATACCCTGTAAAAGACAAGGAGACCAGACACGGACATCAACGCCAGCTACTATTTGGCCGATAACCAGGACACTTCCTAGAGGGGGACTGACCAGCAGGGTCAGCACGGGGCTGGGGGGGGCACATTGCAGGCAGAAGGGGCAGCAGGTAAAAGGCTCCTGGGGCAGACATGAGCCCAGGGCTTCACTCCGAGGGGATAGGAAGCCCCCAGAGGGGTTCGGGTGGTCACCAGTGCAGAAGTCTGACTAGGAGGCAGCGGGCAGAGAGCAGGGCTCAGATGATGCACATCCTTGTGGGGGGACGACCTGATGGGTTTGCACACAGGCAGAATTGTACTCACGGGGCCTCCCGACCCACAGCTTGGATGGAATTGCCACTTCCCGAGACTGGGGACTCAAGAGCTCCCTTCCTAGGATGGCGGGATGAGCTGCCAATTGGACATCCAAGAAGGGATGCTGGGGCGGGGTCCCACAGCGAGACCCAGTAAGAGGCCAGAGATGGGGACTCAGATCTGGAACCATCGGCATAGGGTTGGCATTTGTCCATATGGGACAGCGGCGATGAGCAAGGATGGAATGAGCAGAGAAGAGAAGGCCAAGCCGGGAGGCAGGGACCTCAGCGGCCGAGGCCAGAAGCAGGAGTCAGAGAGGGAGGGGCTCCAGCTGCGTCCGGCATCTCTGACGGGTCCTGTCGTGGGGCTGGGGCCACCCCCTGGGTCGGGCACAACAGAGGTCATGCTGCCCTCCCAAGAGCAGCGTCAGTAGCCACGTGGGGTCCAGGCCCAAGCAGAGTGGACACGAGAAGTGAGAGCAGCCGTGCAGACAGATGAGAGCAGAACCACGGGCACCGGCCGGCAGAATTCACAGGATTCTGGCCCAGAAATCAAGGAGAATTATTCCTTAAACACACAGCGAACTTGTAGAAACCACCATCTGCTGGGCCCCGGGTCACAACTCAGTAAATTTTGAAGTGTTTGGGCCCTACACCATGGCAAGCTCTCTGACAACACCGTGAATGGGGCAGGCGTCTACGACGAAGTTACTAAGTGACCCGCCCACGTCTCACGTCACATCCAAGAAGGAATCCTCAGCCGTAAGTGTCTGGAAGAGAGAAAACAACAAGTTAACGAGGAGCCAAAATTTACAAGTTGGAAAAAGAGCAACAGAACAAACACAAAGGAAGAAAGGAGATCATCGTTGTTTCAACAAAAAACATCAATAAAAAAGTAAGAAAATAAACAACTGAGAGGCACAGCAAGTCCAAAACTGTTTCTTAAAAAGGACAGACCTCTGAGGGGACGGGTCAGGGGAAAAGGGGAGAGGACAAAATACACATAAAGAGGAGAAGAGAGAGATAATTACTGCTTGACGAAGAGGTATAAGAGCAAGGAATGGATAAACATATTCCACTAATATCGAGATAAAATGGAAAACCCCAGAGCAGCATCTTATCAAACTTGAGTCAAGAAGAGAACAGCTCAAGAGCACCGTATTTACTGAATAAGCTGAAGTGCAAAGGAGCGGCTGCAGGAGGGGGACGCTTGCGTTGTCTTCCGGGCAGCGGGACACAGGTGGTCGATGCCGCGGCAGGAGCAAGGGAAGCAAGAGAGGGCAGCACCATCTCCGAAGCACAGAGGGAAAGAACTGGGCCACCAGAGAGACTGTGTTCCCATCATACAGCCTCAAGGCTGTCCTCATGCAGTCCTGGAAGCCCAGAGTCTGGCATCGCTGTGTGAGAGGGCCGTGCCCCGCTCCAGCGCCTCAAGGGGACCACCCCCTGCCCCTTTCAGCTTCGGGTGGCTGCCCACAGCACAGCGTCCCTCAGCCTTAGTCACCTCGCACCGATCTCGGCCGCACGTGGCGTTTGGCCTGTGTCGCTGTGTCTAAATGCCCCTCCTCTTAGGACAGTAGTCATACTGGATGGAGGGCCCACCCACTCACAGATGGCCTCATTGTAACTTGATTACATCAGCAAAGAGCCCATGTCCAAATGTGGTCATAGTCACAGGCTCTGGCTGGGCGTGAATTTTGGGGAGACACTACTGAACCCAGGATCCTTTCCTTTCCTGAGCAATTTACCCCCAAAGCTGTTAGGTGGGCAGGTCTGGATGACAGGGGTGGGGACATGCAGACTCAGAGCTCAGAGCCCCACCTGGGGGACAGGGAGTGAGGTCTGAAGCAGGGTCTGGAGGTTCCACGGGGGCAGCCCGGACCTCCATGCCGGAGATGACAGGCAGGTGTCCATGTGAGCAGGGATGGGAGGCTGGCACACCCGGGTGCCGATCAAGTGAGTAAACAGGCCCAGAAGAGTGGAGGACAGGAGGGACCCACAGTCGCCAAGAGGGAGAGCTAGACAGGGCCTGTGCTGGGGGGTGGGCTGGGCTCATCAGTTTGAATTCATGGTTTCCAGTATATCGAGACAAATATGTACACATATAATAGATTAAATAATGGCCAAAAGCTTCCCAAATTTGATTAAGTACATGAATCTACATACACAGGAAGCTCATGAACTCCAATATAAATGGGCTAAATGCTCTACTTAAATGTCAATGGTGTGGGGGGAATATTTCTATATATAATGTGTTTTTTAGGTTTATGGTTTTTTTCATTTATTTATTTGAGAGAGCACAAGTTGGGGGGGAGCGGCAGAGGGAGAAACAAACTCCCTGCTGAGCAGGGAGCCTGATGCAGGACTCAATCCCAGGACCCTGGGATCATGACTTGAGCAGAAGGCAGACACTTAACCCGCTGAGCCACCCAGGTGTCCCTTATGTTCTGTTTTAATATGAAATATGAAGCTGGTTAAGCTCAGTGACTTTCACCCAAGGAAAGCAGCTGTGGCCACGTTGATCTCAAGTAAAACAGACTTTAAGGCAAAAAGCATTAGGGGACATGAAGAGGGATGACACAGCTCTCAATGTGCACACACCTGGACTATAGCTCTCAAAATATAAAGCAAGAAATGGACAGACCTACAGGAAGAATCACAGACTCACGGTTATCATGGGAGGTGTTAACACTGACCTCTCAGTAGGGACAGAACAAGAGGACAAGCATTAGTAAAGATGCACTTCATGGTAGCACTCCCGCACACAGGCCTTGGAAAGAACCACCCATCGGCCCAATGCCCCGAGCTTTGCAGCACATCCACTCACTGTTCTATCATGTGGCCATAAAAGAAGACCCAACACATTCCCAAAGATGAAGTGCACTTAATTATGCAGCGACAATGGCATGATTACGCCTTGACGAATTGTTGTCTCCTTCGGGCTTGGCCAGCACTTCTGTGGGATGGGGTCTGTACCTGGTGGAGAGGCCTACATCTCTTTTCCTGCATGACCTCAGACTCCAATCCAGCTGTGCTCATCCCAGGTCTTGGGGTCCCATTCCTTCACTCTAGACCCTTCCTTTCGTGGGAGGGACCTCTGGGCTTTTGAATTCAGCCTCCTCTGTAATCCTCCCCACTCTTATATCGGATGCTGGGCCCCATTCTCAGTAATATTTGTCCTCTGGCTGCAGGATATGGGGCCTCTTAAAATGCTGTCATAGGGGATTTCTGGTGCCCACTCTGTTCCCTGAGTTGACAGGAAAAGGGGCTGACTCACTGAGTGCTCCTCTTTCTGCATCTCACTGAACACCAACCAGGCTGCTCATTATCACAGTCAACACTGTGTCCACAGGTCTGATGATACTCACTGCCCCACGTCTCTCAAAGGCTAGAGATATTGCACAAGGTGCACCCCCTTCCTGCCCACGTCCCATTATAAGCATTCAAGAGGCCTTCTTTACAAAGGATCAACTTACAGATGGGCGGTGACAGAACCACGGGGGCGGGGGGGGGGCGGGCAGGTAGAGCTGTTTCCACCCCAGGCCCAAATATCAACTTGTTTCAGACAAGACATAAACTATAAAAGACACCATTGATAAATTTAACTATATTAAAATTAAGCAAGATCCATCAAAAAAGATACCCTTAAAAAAAAATAAAAGATGAGTTACAACCTGAGAAAATATATTTGCAACACCTATACCTGATAAAGGAATGTTGTCAGTAATATGCAAACAGCTGCTGCAAAGCAAGAAAAAACAAACAATCCAATAGTCAAAAGACATTGATAGACATTTCGGAGAAGAGAAGTACATAAAGCCAATAATCATATGAAGAGATGTCAACTTCACCAACAATCAGAAAAAATTCAAATCGAGAGCAGAATGAGGTATCACCTTAGCAAAATCATATTAACAACCATGAAAAAGTCTGACCACACTGAGTGTTAGGATGTGGATCCACAACATCTTTCGTGCATGAGCTGCTGATGGAGAGTCAAACTGAAAAAGTCACTTTGGGAAACAGCCTATTATTGCCTCCAACTGTCCAGAGCTCCATAGTCCACCACCAAGCAGCTTCACCACTAGGTACATGCTGGAGAGCCCCCTGTACAAATACACCAGAAAACACCTATAGTGAACCAGTTGGATGGGCTAGGGTTCCATCGTGAGTGCAGGGTCACCGTGTGGGGCCGGGAATACAGGATGCCAGGGATTGGACTCCGCACAAGTGTGCGAGAAACTAGGAAAAGCACAGATGTGAAGTGTCCACTGTGCCGTCAGAGAAGACTCCCCGACCAGAGACCCTGAAGGGGACTTGTTGCTGAGGGCTGTGGAAGGCTCCTGCCTTTACATCTGGCAGAGGGTTTAAAGGCTGTCAGGGCAGGCAGTTGGGAAGAACCGCTGCATAAAGGGCAGGGAGAGAAGAGGTTTCTGGAAAGATGGCCGAGCAAGAGGCACCAGGAATCTGTCTCCTCACCTGGACAAAACCTACTCCTGCAGAATCTGTCTGATGTAACTACTTTGGAACTCTGGAGGCTACTGAAGGCTTGCAACTTCTAAGAGAGGTCTTGGATGGTAAATGTGCTTAAGTTTGGTAAATTTTAGCTCTTAACACAGTAACAGCTACCCAGCCCCCAGCCACGACCCCATGGCAGGCAGCTGTGCACACATGCCTGGAGCAATCTGCACACAGCTTGCAGGAGCCAGGGTAGACCAAAAGGACCCTATCCTCCGAATATCAGGGATCTGTGCTCCGATCAGAGTGCAGACAAAGAAGAGGGAAGTTATCCTGGCATCTCCCCTCCTCTTCAGGCTGAAGTGATTTCCAGGAGATGTAAAGGGCTTGATCTGCTTCTGCCCACTTTATTTCTCTCTTTTTCAATTTTTGGGAACCAGACATCAAAGACTAAGACATTCAAAAGCAAGTGTATATACCAGGAAAATTAGAAAGTGACTGCATTTGCCCAGGGAAAGACTCAGGCTCAGAAGAGACTTGAGAAGACATTATGTTTACACCTCAGGCTGACCTGTGACACAGAGACAGCCTCCAACAATCAGAAAAACAATAAACAATAACAACAACTAAAATAAACCTGGGGAAGGAGAAGAATCTGACTTCCAGAGTTAACACATTGAATGCAAATGTCCAGTTTTCAACAAAAAAAATCACATGGCATACAAGTAAACAGGAAAGTATGGCCCACTCAAAGGAAAAAAACAAATCAACAGAAACTGCTCCCAAAAAAGAACTGATGGCAGATCTACTAAAGATTTAAAACAACCATCTTAAAGATGTTCAAAGAATTATACGCAGGGGCGCCTGGGTGGCTCAGTTAGTTAAACATCTACCTTCAGCTCAGGTCATGATGCCAGAGTCCTGGGATCAAGTCCAACATTGGGCCCCTTGCTCAGCAGGGAGCCTGC